ATCCTGCCTCCATCCCACCCAACTTTCCTCCTCCTTGCATCCCACCGCTATCCTGTTTCCATCCCACCTCCATCCTGACTGCTTCCCACCTCCAGCCAGCTTCCATCCTGCCTGCTTCTCTCCTGCATCCTATCTCCATCCCTTGCCCATCCCACCTCCATCCCGCCAGCAACCTTTGAATTTTTCATCTGGAAGTCCAGCAAGTTTTTACTGTGTTGTTACTGTGTTCACTGACTTTTTTTCCCCCTCATTTTGGCTGATTTTCAGAAGAAGGATGAACACACATAAAGGTCATCTTAAGAGCCAGTTTCAAGCCCTGTTCTAAACCCCAGTGATGCTAAGGGTGCTCTTTAATGAGAAAGACCATCCATTTTTTCTTTTCTCACCCCTCTCTGGGAGAAGGAGGGGATAAAATATATTCCCCACCACCCTCAGAAATGGACAGACCATTTGGCCTGGAATAGAAAACAATAACTAATCAGTGATCAAAAGTGTAGACATCCAGCAGCCAGTGTGGAAAATCACAGCTTGGCAAAGGAAATCACCTGGGACTTATTTCAGACTTTGAAAAGGGGAACCCTGAGGACTCCTTAGCAGGGACGGTCCGTGGTGCTTGGTGCTGCACCGATGGAGCAGAAAGGCTGGTCTGCAAAGGTCAGAAGGATGCAGTGCTACTAACTGGCTTCTCTAGACTTTCAGAAAGGTTTAGGTGCCTTATAGGAGCTCAGGCGTTATGGCAGGACACAAGCAGATGCCAAACGAGATGGAATATAAGCGGATGATTAATCCTCATTTCTTCCCAGCTTCATATGTGGCACCTGGGCAAGGCTGCTCCAAACTCGCCAGGCACCTGAGAGCGTTTCTGCAAGGTAACAAATGCATCCCCTGGAAGTTGGTGAGATCCCTCTCCTTCTGTTGGGTTTTTACAAGAACCGTGCTTTATATGCATATTTTTACATACATTTTAGCATTTGTGTTCTACTTTTTGGAAGGTTTCTTAGTTTCTCTAGAAAATCAGTGAGTATACTTTTTTCCCCTGCTGCTATTTATATCCAATCTTTTTTTTGGTCACATTCACATTTTAAAGATGGATTTTGGTTTAGAAGGCTTCCTAGTGAAGAGATGAAAAAAATTGGAAAAATAATATTTAATACACTTGACTGTATACCCTGGTATTTGTGCAGTAAAATTGGAGATGCTGTTGCTGTGTTTAAGCATATTTATGCTTCAATACACTGTGTGCAAAGGCCCTTGGACTATTGCCTGGCTTTACATATAATTTTTAACCAGCAAAAAGTAAAGCTCTTCACTATGTTTTTATTTATGCTTTGGCAATTAAAATAATAATAAAAAAGTAAATAAATCACTTGTAACCTCCCTAATCTCCTCTGACTCACACAGGACTTCCTCGCTCTGCTCGTTACTGTTTGATTTTGTGTTTTTCCATCTTGCCTGTGAGGTTTTGTTGACCTAAAACACAGGCAGAAGAACCCGATTTTTGTCCTGCCCTTTGTATGACCTGACTCAGAAGTCCTCGGTGCCACCAGCCATGCGGGCACAGCATGTGATTCCAGGGAGCTGGGGTCAGGACAGCACTAATGCTTGTTTTTCCCAGCAATTGCTGCATGTACCCCTTCATCCCCAATACCTCCTTATTTCCAAATGGGGTTTTGCCTAGAAGTTGCATATTAACAATTTTAAACCTGTGCGGTCCTACAAAACACCTTTTAGTTTATTACGGGGCATCACGGATCCCATCCTTCGGGCTATGCCGATCTCCTCCGCTCTTTGTCTGCGGGGGAGCAGCCGCCTGTTTTTCTACAAATACTTTGCAGCTTTTTCAAGAACAGAAAGTAAGAACTAAAACTTTGCACTGACTGCTGACCTTTCTCCTCTCTTTGGGGAAGTGTTGACGTTGCTATCCCTTTTTCACTTGGTTTGGGGCAAAAACGTGCCAATTTTTGAGATAAGTTGTTTTTATATATGAAGCTGAATGCAGCCAGGAAAGTTTCCCCGTTAAGAGATGCTCTCCAGGGAGCCTGTAAATCCCTTGTGTGCCCAAAGCAGGCATGAAACAACCCCCTTTTTTGCTTTTGCAGGATTTTGAAGCATATCAGAGAAATAAATGGTGTTTGCTCAGGCCATGGCAAGCTTCAGCCTTTGGAGCAAAATCCACCACTACAGGAATGAGATAAGGAAAACAGCCAGGAGGTCTTGGGCAACCTTCTTGTTAAATTACTGCTGATTGACTCATGGTGTCCCTGCTTCAACATTAGCAGCAAATAGCTCCTAACGAAGCTGCTGCAGGACCAACACCTCTAAGCTTAAGAAAAAAAGGTTCTATGTATATTCATCTCCCACAAAAAAAAAAAAAGCCCTAAATAACA